GTCCAGTGTCCTGCCGGTGTATCATGTAAACTCACCTGGCTCTTTGCAGCAGCACCGATCGCTCGATTCCGGGGTCCAAAAGAAACACATGCTCTAAAGAAAAAAGAAAACAGTTAAATTATATTTTCCTCCACAGTTTTACAGCAATGACGCTCTCTACAGGGTAATGTAACAAAATGGTAGTTTATTGCGATGATGTCGATGTTTCATACAAATATTTGTTAACGTTTGCAAATATATGATATATACTGCTTTAACGATAATCTGTTGATTATGGGTCTGAAAAATGGGTACATCAGATAGATAAAGCCGTTTGACAGCCACGATCCGGCCTCCTCCCATCATGCGCCCATTCATGCCTGCAGTAAAAAAGAAATGCATCACCTGACTTAGCAGGTCAATAATGCGTTTTTATTTTATTTCGACGACATTAGTGTAATAGGAGACTTCAAAAACCATCTAATCATATGAAGTAGTACGGGGATTCCTTTATGCTCACAATGATTCAGCTAGCATTAGCTTTAGCACTCACATGCCGTTTCCTGTTGTGAAACCCCTTAGCATGCTAACTAGCTAGGTAAGCGACGTTAGCTTCATTCAATATTATGATGAACTAAAGTGGAATTCGTTCACATTCTGTACCTGCTATGAGTACATACAATACAACATAAATCACAAACAATAGCGTATCTAATCGTACTCACGGTGTACACCGGTCGCTGTATTCATTAGCGACAGTTTCAATCCCACCGGCTCTGGCTACCGCTACATAGCAGTTCAAGTACCCGACGTCAAACCCGACAACCGACATTTTCTCTGGCTAACTAAACAGTGTAGAGTACAGTAATTACAAGAAAGAACAGGAATATAATTCAGTGCTGGAAAGGTGACAGCAGCAGCTACAGTAGGGTTTCAGTCAGCAGTGATACACCCTTGTTCTTGTTCCATGAAGCTGTGTGTAGCAGCATGCGGCGCGCCGGCTGATGCGTGAGAACGTTCAGGAATCTTCTCTGTCCCACCGACCAATAGCATCACACTGCAGAGCACCACACGCTGCTGTCGGGCGCCCCCCACAGGCGAGGAAAGGTATTACTGCAGCAGGAAACTCATGTGTTAAACTGTTATACTCTGTACATTTCATCTAATGTAATCCGTTACAATAACTAATTACCTGTAACAACCTTAATCAAAGATTCAAAGGTTTTATTGTCATACGCACAGCTACCGTGTAGTTTTGGCGATGAAGTCCCAGGCTCCTTTAACAATGCAACATCAATAGATATAAGACACAAAACAACAATAAAAATAGTGCAAAAAGAATGGAAATAAAATAGTGCAAGAGAATGTTGCAAGTGACCAATGTACCAGCAATGCAGGAGAAGTAAACCTTACACATGTCAAATCGAATAAGATGAGGTAAAAGCAGAATGTACAATTAAGTACTGTAAAGGGATAAAATACTCTTTATTGTAATAATAAATAGATATGTGAAATGCAAACAGATGAATGCTTAAAGAAGCAGTCTTTCAACTGTCCCTGAGCCTGGTGGTTTTAGTCCTGATGCTGCAGACAGAACGGGGTGATGGGAGTCTTTGATAATCCTTTGGGTCTTCTTCCTGAGGCGCTGTGTGTAGAGGTCCTCCATGGAGGGCAGCTCTGTCCTGGAGGACTTCTACACACACACACAGCAGCTCAGCAACCTGATCTAAGTATCACAATACAATATCTACACTAGTATTTCTGATTCAGTTACAACTGTTGGTGGCTCCCCAACCAACATGCAGTTGCTTTCTGTACTTTAACATAAAAGCCCCTGCAGTTACTAATATAACTGCACATACTTATTGTCAAGTGTATTTAGTGTGCTTTGATTTGTTCGCAGCAACTCCATATAAAAGTACTAATTAAACAAACAACTTTCATTTAAGTTGGCTAGCTGTCATTTATCATTAACAAAATCATAATCAACAACTCCATTGATTACTCTGTTATCTTTAGTCTTTAACTACTCAGAGAAATAACTGAAAAATGCTCATTACCATCTCCCAAATTAAAAAGCTGTATTTCTTCATCGTCTTGTCTTGATTCCATTAGCAGTAAAGTAGCTAACAATATTCCATTGACACAAATGTATATATAACAGAAAAGCAGCAAATCCTTGCATGCAGATGTAGAAAAAAAAAACCTGTGCATTTTACTTGATAAATAATTATCAAAACTTTAGGCTCCTAATTTTTCTGTTGATTGACCTGTCACTTCAGTACTAAATGTGCAATGTAATGTGGAAAAAGTAGCATTGATTTAACAAACACAATAAATAAACATGAATACAATCACAAATAGATGACTGAATGAAACCAATGAAGACTCATTTCACATAAATATTTTTCACCTTTATTGGTCAAACGTACAGTTAGAATTAATAACATAGGGCAGCTTTCAGAAAGGTTTGAATTAGTTTATTCGTCATTCTCAAAGTCTGCATGGACCTTCCTCTTGCTGGCCCGATAGGTGCTGTTGCCCCATGTGTATGTCAGGTACAGGGCTATCATTGCTGCAAAAACAAGTTAAAACATATTAGCAACAGGACATTCTCTACCTGTTATTCATTTCAGCCACATCTTGCTTTGCAGTAAGTGAGTTAAATCCTATAACAATACAGCGATAACATTACATTACATTACATGTTACTTGTTAGATGCTTTTATCCAAAGTGACTTCATACTCAATACTGTGGACAATCCCCACAGGAGCAATTTGGGGTGAAGTGTCTTGCCCAGGGACACAACGACATGCTGACTGCAGTGGGGTTTGAACCTGTGGACCCCTGATCCCAACACCAAGGCTCTATCCACTGCGCCAAACGCCTCCCGATAACCCTCGATAACACCACTACTCTGGCTTGCAGAGAACTCACAATGTCATAGTTTCTTAAGTAGCCCTTTTGTTTACTCCACTTCTATCTAACCCTAATTCACTAATTTGTAGATATAGTTCTCACATTGTACCTTGTGCATTACATTTTGATTTAGAAACTGCAATGCAAGTGCAATTACTTTGCACACTTATAACGTAAACAGTACCCTATATTTACATTTACTCACTTCGAATTTGGTATATATATTTTTGTATTCAATAGAGATACTCTATTGATATAAATCTTTCACTGTTGCTATGTATGTATTTACCGTTTGGTCTGTTTTCTACCATTGGGTGCTGTGAAAAATCCCAAATTGGGTTCAATAAAGTATAATCATATTGTGCTATCATACTATGTAAAATAAAGCTGTAGCTACCAATGAAATGAGTGAGGTTAATCTAATCAAAACCCTTTGACAGTTTAAGCTGGCAAACATAGGGAGTGTCAGCAATTTCAATAGACATATAGAAATGTGTTGTCCTTGCTCTCAATTTAAAATCATGATATATAGAATAGAAAAATCTGAAACTCACGAGGGGCAACTTTGAAGACAGACGCCCTGAACCGTCTCCACACATTTGGGATTCCCTTGGAGAAGAAGTTGGGGAAAGCCCTCTGCTCGAAGGGCGACAGACTGTATGTGACCACATGCCTCATCCTCGCCAAATCACCAAAGTGGCCTCCCATGTTTGCTAGAAGGCTGATCTAAAAAGACAAGACATTCACATTAAAGATTTTTTTTAAAGCCACTAACATCAAACATGTTTTCAAGATTGCAGGAAATTGAAGCAGTGAAATATAGAAATTGTATCCTGACACTCACACAGCTGTGTTATTCTTAAGAGGCAAACATAATTGTTCAACGTGTTTGCTTTTAATGCATCTATTTAATTTATAAAAAAATATACAATCTAATGATAATTCTAGCAATAAATATGAGCTGTTCCTACCCAAAGGCTCTGACTTTGTTTGACATTGATTTGAATAATAACCTTAAGGGGTAAACTAGTCCATCTCCTTGTATGAATATCTGGATATTATGTTATCATAAATGTATGCAGTAATAACCTAGTACATCACGTAGCAGATTATCTAAATACACGATTGCAAAAACAGAAAACAACAATCGTACAGGACAGCAAAACACCCTGATTAGCAAGTGTTAGCATAATCAACTAGCTCCAGTGGCTAACAGTTAGCTGCTAAGGTCCTTGAAACGCTTATGTTACTGCCACGTTAAAGAGGTGGTTTAACCGAGGCCAAAATAAAGGTCCATCCTAGTACATTAAAGCAGATATATCTTACATGAATCGGCAATTCAAGTTAAAGGAAGAAAATCTACACTGTTAATGTGACATTGAAGCTTACCGTCCTGTTTCACAGTGTCCTAATAAAGTTGTTCTGTCCTTCCGTTTTATTCAGGCCTTGCTTAGCTCCCAACCTTTATATATACAGTCTATGCTCCCAACACGTCAGCGCCACCTGGCGGACTGGAGTTTAACTACACTCAAGATGTAGGTAGAAATGGACTCTTCCTTCCTGAATGAGGGGGTGTATTTATGGACAAAAAGGAAATATAGACATTCAAATAGTATCAGTAAATATAGACATTTAAATAGTATCAGTAAATCCGAGCTCAAATGTTTAATCTAGGGAAAGTCAACTAATCAAACGTGGCAATCAAGGTGGGACAGAGAAGGGAAAAGGAGACAAATTCAAAAGTGCCAATGTTTCTATGAGGAATGTCAGAAAGAGAAGTCAGTGGTGGGTAGACGCAGAGAGAGACGACGGGGAATGATCCGAGGAAATCAGCATTGCAGGAATTAACAGTAAAAAGATTAGCGAGCATGGGTAAGAGGGCACAGGTCAATTACGGTCTGCTTTCTTAAGGGACAGAGGGCTTTTTAAAGGTTGTGATGGATAATTGGAAAGGGAGTATACATCAGAATAAATTCTGAAAGCATATGGGATAATTGTAATTTAGGGTGTTAGCAAGTTCATATGCACTTGTTTTGAGTTATTTAAAAAAAAATGTATTTAGATCAAAGGTGTATGAGGTAAGAATTAACAGTCACTTCAATATACTCAACATTTATGCATGTTCTTTTTTTTTATTTTCAAACCTTTCAAACAATGTTTTCACATTTTCACTCCTTTGAATATCCCTAAACCGAGCACAGTGAATTAATTACATCTGCATAAATAGACATGACAAGCATTTAGTCTCATTCAACCATCAGAAATTCACAATTATGCACTCAATCCATACTGTAGGTTTCCTATGCAGTCACGCAGTGACCAGAAGTAATAAATACACACTGAAACCTTGACAACTTTCATTCTGGACATTATGATGACAGTTACCATTGAGACAGCTATCATTAATCCCCAGGAATAAAATGGTATGTAAAAGGTTTGATAAGAGTTTGTTTTTTCCATCTTTTGTCCAGAACAGGGCTACTTAAAACTTGGCAATTGTGTTAAATTAAAGAATAATGACAGACCACCAACCCAAAATAAGTTAACAGAAATATAACTTTTGTTGTAAATTATACAACACAAATGTTTCTTCTTAAAGTGTGTCAGAGTTGAAGAATAGGATCCATTAACCTTTCTTCACGCCTTAACAAAAGTGTCACATTTCCACATTTTTCACAAGGATAAAATACTTTTTGTTTAGTAAACACACCTGCTCCAGATCAAACTTCATGCACAATGATTTTTATAAATTCATGAAATCACTGAGCTTAGTCAAAGTATCCAATATTGGATAGAGTCCACCGGTGAGGACTGCTGAAGGGGTTTGTGTTGATGTTATAGGAAGCCTGTAAAAAAAGGAGGAAAATAGAACAGACATGTTGGCAGCTGGCTTAGCGACATGTGCACCTGGTAGCAATCATATCTTCCAACTCCTTGTACACATAGGAGCCATCCTTTTCAAAGATCATGACACTCAACGGGCTGTAGTGGGAGGGGATGCACGAGGGCCGAGGCACAGAGGAGTCAAGGTTCTCATAGATGATGGTTTGCACCATGGCGTGGACAGGCGAGCCGTAGATGAATCCCAAGGTCCTCGGGCAGACGCCGCTGCAGTACCTGGGGTTGTACTTGGGTGGATATACAATCCAGTGTTCCAGTTTAAGCTGGTTGAATCGCACCCTGAAATCATACAAGGCACAGTTGCTTGTCGGGAATTCAGAGCTGGAGAGAAGCTCAGGCAGGTGGAGTTCCAGAATTTTATCAGCTTGTTTGCTCTTTGGAGATTCCCTCTTCCATCTCCTCTTTCGCCCAATCCTCTGTTCTGTTTTGAAAGCCATCTGCTTGTGAAAAGTGTTCCCTGCGGTTTCTGGCCTTTGACCCGCGATGGAATTGTCCAGAAACCTCTGGTTGTCGATTTTGCTCGTGTCATAGAGATAAAGAAGCAGAAGAGGGGAATTCAGGGTGAAATTTAGGGAGGCTTTGCGCCCATCATATCTGGCTTTCCGTTCCCCTGGGCAGGTGACATTAATGTGCAGGTGTATATTCTTCTTGTGAAATCTTAAGAGAGGCCTGAGAAACGATGTGACATCGACCTCCACCCAGTTCCTCCTGCTCCCCCCGGCTGTGCTGACTGTGAAGTTCCCAGCATGGTGGATCCGGGGACACAGAGGACACTGGTTGAGGTGCTCCAGCTTCTCCAGACTCAGGTAGCATACAGAGTTGACGGGTGCTGCGAGGTCATGGTCAAAACTGTACAGCAGGGTTGACTTCAGGAGCTGCTCTTTTCTTCTAACTTGATCAAGGCTGTAGGAATGATCCTGCATAAAACTCTCTATAGGAGAATATGAGAAAAGATTAGATCACTGTGTCAGCATTACATGTCAGTATCACAAATCCATGCACTTATGATAACATTAGACAGAGTCATATTTCCTTATGGTAAATATGTCTGTTTAATGTCACTGATGCCTTTAAAACATGAAACAAGATTATGTTTTGTACATAGTTACCCTTTGCCTTTTTTCTATGCGTGTTAGCAGAGGTGGGAGAACTACTCAGATCTTATACTTAGGTAAGTACCAGAGTTTAGGAATACTCTGTTACAAGTACAAGTCCTGCATTAAAAGTGTTACTCAAGTAAAAGTATTATCATCAAAATATACTTAAAGTACCAAACGTAAAATAACTCATTATGCAGATCAGTCCATTTAATAATAATACATATCATATGTTTTGATTATAACTATTGATGCATTCATGTGTTTATCAAAGCTGGTGCAGCTAGTTTTAGACTTTGTATTGTGAATTTACTCCAGGTGTAACTAAAGTCTGATTTAAGTGTCGATTTATATTTCACATCATTAATCCAAATCTGTCAAATAACTAAAGGTACAAAATAAATGTACGGAAGTAAAAGTACACTATTTAACTCTGAATTGTAGTGGAGTAGAAGTAGCATAAAATGGAAATACTCAAGTAAAGTACAAGTATCTCAAAAATTGTTCTTAAGTACACTACTTATTAGTAAATGTACTGACCTCTGGTCATTGGGTAGTCATATTATGGTATATTTTTTACAGAAATGCCAATATAAATCTCAGCATCATCACTGAAGGTAATGCATGTTACATTGTGTGTCAGGAATAGTCAGTTGAGTTGTTTTACTTGCTCACCTTCATAACTTTGTGCTTGACATTCATCTTGTGGCTTAATCAGTCGGAGTGTGTTATAGATTTTATTCCCGTCCAAACTTCTCTGCACTCTGGAGGATTTATTGTAAACCTTCGTCAGATACTTGATGTACCTGTGCTCGGGTTTGATCTTTTTCTTCAGTTCCTGGTTCCACCTCGACCCTCCGTGCTCTGACAGGGCTTTGAGCAGCGGGGAGAAGATGCTGCTGTACGGGTAGGTGAAGTCCCCCAGTTTGTGCAGCGCATTGGAGGCAGATCCGACCAGAGGGCAGCTGCAGTTGACCAGCAGCAGTAAGAAAACCATGCGAAAATAACGAAGGACAGCTGAAATCAGCATTTGTTTTTCCATTATAAACAACAAACAAAACGTATAGAGACTCTCTGGCGAGAGCTCGGGGTAAACAGGACCAAGCACGTGTTGCTGGTGATCACCATGCGCAGGTGTTGGCAATCAACTCTGCCTCTCATATGACTTTCTCAGGTAAAATACCTGTTTCACTTTCAGACATGATATGAGCAGCAAGAGGAACGTTTAAGATGCTAGATGGTTGATTAGTATTAAACAAGCTCGATCCTGCATCCATGATTCTCTCATCAGATATGGGAATGATGATTAAATGTAAAACTCGAAGTAATACCTAATACAAGCGACTTCCGGCTATATTCTCCATAAGATTATTCACAAAAACGTATAAAGTTTCATTTAAAAGCATATCCCACAAATATATGTTTTTCCTTTATTAGATGCACAACAATATGCACAATTGAATGTTATTGACTCAAAAAATAGGGACTTTTATGGCGATATATTTTACAATTTTATTTTGAAGGATAACATCCCAACGTCCGGTTCTTATTTTCCAGTTTCCCGATGTAACTTCAGAGGCGAAGTCCCTCCCCTTCCGGTGGCACTCATGGGACCTTATTTCGGAAAAAGTTTGTATTGAAGTCAATGGAGAGAGAAAGATTATCTTTCGATCCCGTTTGAATTGTGCCACGAATTACACATATGATGTTTGTCAATCTTAAATAATAATTTCCATGTCAAAAAAGTCACAGTTTGTCGTAAAACTGTTGAAATATAAGACTATGAAAAATAGGCAACTAGAAAGACTACAAATCCCAGAATCCCGGTCCCGCATGCTGGCTCTTACGGAACCGACTAACTCCCCTTTTGTGTATGTACAGCTCTCAACCAAGCCCCCAGGAAGTGCGCCGGACTCAGATGAAAATATTCGTGCTGGCCAAACGGCGGTACTACACTTCCTTTTGGTTGCCAGGCCCGGAAACACTTTTTCCCATTGACTTACATGGGGAAAGAGTGGTCTGTAAATCGTTGGATCATTTTTTTTAAACTAAATAAACTACCCAGTATGAACACTTGTATAGCCCTTATTAAAAACATTCATTCCTCAAGTTGTAAAAATGTGCTAATAACGTTATTCTGAGAGTTATTTCCCTCTGCATTATGAACGCGCATCTAACCCACGGGACCGCGCCGCCCGGCACGTTCATGTTACGTGTTCGGCACTACATGCGTTTATCTTTACCCATGGATGCACAATAAGAACGGACCCATATCGCCTTACTGCCAGCCCACGGAGCTGTAATAATGGATATATTGCACATGTTTGCTGTAATTCATCATTTGTAAAATATTATACTACATGGGCTGTATGATTAAATCTTGTACCGTAAATGTTGTATTAAATAAAGTTAATATTACCGACGTAGATTAACGTCCCTGTAGCTTCTTATTGCACTGTATATATATATACATATATATATATATATATATATATATATATATATATATACAGTGCAATAATTCTTTCATGCTAAATGAAGCTCTGTTGCTTGGATATCACTAGATCCTGTTACAGCGTAATATAAAAGTACATAACGATTGATGTGTAAATTAGCATAATTACTAGCTAACCGCTAGCTGCTAACTGCCGCCTCGTTAATATCAAATCTATCATAATAACAAACCATTACCATGCTGTCATGAACGTGCGGTGCTGTTACGTGTACGCAAATTGACGTGCTTGATGTGAACGAGCATTTTGGGGGGCATGGTTAAAGTTGCGCATGCGCTATGAGCGCACATACGGGTACTTCTCAGGCATGCCGGGTAATCTGTGACGTTTCGCTCTCTCAAAAGTTGGGCCATTTTATCATCATGCGCGAATGAGCAACTCTCATAGAGTGGCGAAGTCCCTCCCACTTACTTCCGGGGTATGGGACCTTATTTCGGAAAAATTATGCATTGAAGTCAATGGGGAGAGAAAACTTATCTTTCGATCCCGTTTGAATTGTGCCATGAATTACACATATGATGTTTGTCAATCTTAAAAAATCATTTCCATGTCAAAAAAGTCACAGTTTGTCGTAAAACTGTTGAAATATAAGACTATGAAAAATACGTAACTAGAAAGACTACAAATCCCAGAGTCGCGTAAGTGATGTCACAATTGTTTACCTCCACCATTCAGATACCTAAGATCAGCGCAATATAGATATAATCTATCTATATGGTGCTGGCTAAGATAAGATAACTTTAACAAGATGCCTGTGTGCTTAGTACCAGGTTGTTATTATACCAGCAATGGGTCTTGCTCGTTCTTTTGCTTCTCGTCTGATGAAACGACCAGGAGTGGCTTGATCAAGTTAGCTACCTAGCTAGTAGCTAGCACGTTAGTTAGCATTACAGCCTTGTCATTTTTATTAGCCTTAACATGAAGTAACATTAAGTAACCCAAAATGTTAAACAGTAAGAGTAGTAGTCATATTTCGTGAACCCTTTGAATAGTACTGTCACCGGTGTGATCATTCTATAATACACCATTTAATTCCGGGGGAGAAATGCTAACGCTAACGTTAGCCTCGGCGATCTTTTCTACTTCATGCTATCTGCACAAATGGTTGACATTAAACATTAAAACGACCAGGCAGTTCAGAGAGAATCAAAGGAAGGCAGGCAGGCAGCTTTGCATGACATTCTTCAGGACGTGTTTCATTGTGGTGATAGTCAATCGTTTGTTGACAAGACAGTAGTGACGGCCATCTTGGTGACGTGTGTTGTTGACCAGAGATGTAGTTAATTTAGCGTTTCACACAAACAAATGTGTTACTTCACAGTTTTACGACACATTTTTTTTTTTTTGACTTGCAAAATTATCTTTTAAATTGACAAACATCATATGTGTAATTCGTGGCACAATTCAAACGGGATCGAAAGATAATCTTTCTCTCTCCATTGACTTCAATGCATAACTTTTCCGAAATAAGGTCCCATGGGGCTCAACCGGAAGGGGAGGGACTTCGCCACTCTATAGAGTGGCGAAGTCCCTCCCCTTCCGGTTGAGCCCCATGGGACCTTATTTCGGAAAAGTTATGTCAAAAGTTAGTGGCGAAGTCCCTCCCCTTCCGGTGGACCTCCATGGGACCTTATTTCGGAAAAATTATGTATTGAAGTCAATGGAGAGAGAAAGATTATCTTTCGATCCCGTTTGAATTGTGCCATGAATTACACATATGTTGTTTGTCAATTTAAAAGATAATTTTGCAAGTCAAAAAAAAAAAAATGTGTCGTAAAACTGTGAAGTAACACATTTGTTTGTGTGAAACGCTCAAAGAACTACATCTGATCTCTGGTCAACAACACACGTCACCAAGATGGCCGTCACTACTGTCTTGTCAACACAAGAGACTACCCTCACTATCACTACAATGAAACACGTCCTGAAGAATGTCATGCAAAGCTGCCTGCCTTCCTTCCTTTGATTCTCTCTGAACTGCCTGGTCGTTTTAATGTTTAATGTCAACCATTTGTGCAGATAGCATGAAGTAGAGAAGATCGCTAGCGTTAGCGTTAGCATTTCTCCCCCGGGCTTAAATTGTGTATTATAGAATGATCACACCGGTGACAGTACTATTCAAAGGGTTCACGAAATATGACTACTACTCTTACTGTTTAACATTTTGGGTTACTTAATGTTACTTCATGTTAAGGCTAATAAAAATGACAAGGCTGTAATGCTAACTAACGTGCTAGCTACTAGCTAGGTAGCTAACTTGATCCACACACTCCTCTTTCATCAGACGGGAAGCGAAAGAACGAGCAAGACCCATTGCTGGTATAATAACAACCTGGTACTAAGCACACAGGCACAAAGTTATCTTATCTTAGCCAGCGCCATATAGATAGATTCTATCTATATGGCGCTGATCGTATATATACGGTATTATACGTGTATCGTAGTGTCTCAATTGTGACATCACTTACGCGACTCTGGGATTTGTAGTCTTTCTAGTTTCGTATTTTTCAAAGTCTTATATTTCAACAGTTTTAAGACAAACTGTGACTTTTTTGACATGGAAATGATTTTTTAAGATTGACAAACATCATATGTGTAATTCATGGCACAATTCAAACGGGATCGAAAGATAAGTTTTCTCTCCCCATTGACTTCAATGCATAATTTTTCCGAAATAAGGTCCCATACCCCGGAAGTAAGTGGGAGGGACTTCGCCACTCTATAGGAATGAATGAGGCCCCGCCTCCCACGCTGTATCCAGTTCTTATTATACATCCATGCTCTCAACATGCCCAGACTTGTAGTGATTTTCACCTCTTTTAATACTTTTCGCCTCATTCTGAAAGAAAGAAGTGAAATGTGCCAACGTGACGGCCGTCTTGGTGTGTGGTGCGAGACGGGAGATGTAGTTAATTGAGCGGTTTCACACAAAAAAAGTCACAGTTCACTTCACAGTTTTACGACACATTTTTATTTTTTTGACTTGTAAAATTATCTTTTAAATTGACAAACATCATGTGTGTAATTTGTGCCACAATTCAAACGGGATCGAAAGATAATCTTGCTCTCTCCATTGACTTCAATGCATAACTTTTCCAAAATAAGGTCCCATGGAGCTCAACCGGAAGGGGAGGGACTTTGCCTCTCTATTTACAGCGTTAGTAATATCAAAGTTAGGATACTAAACCGTCTCACGTGGAAACATATATTTTACAAGAAAACATTTCTGACATTTTTGTAATTAGTGGAAACATTTTTGAGATTAGAAACACCGACTGACAGGAGGTCAACAGAAAAGTAAGTTACTGATTTAGGTGTAACGTTAGCTAGTTGGCAAACAAAGTAATGCTAGCAATAATACACTTTTACTGTACTGACATCAGTGGTGTAAAATAACTAAGTACATTTACTCAATTACTGTACTTTACTTGAGTATTTTAACGTTTGCTATTTTTTACTTCTTCTACCCCACTACAATTCAGAGGTAAATATTGTACTTTTACTCCACTACATTTATTTAATATCTGTAGTTACTTTGCAAATTTGGATTAATGATTTAAAATATAAACATTCACAAGCTACCCTGCCTGCAAAGTAA